ACTTTGCAACAATGCAATCAAACAGATCTACAACTCATAACCCATTATCCAAGAGTTTTTCAGCTCATTGGGGAAGTGAAATGGGATTCACCAAGCATGCCCTTTTTTACCCAGTGAGCCCCCAAGCTCATTTGCAAACAGAGCTGTGACTCCAAACAACCACACGGGGATGGTTTTTTTTGTGGTTTGTGTTGCTTTTCCTCCCTCTCTGGAGATGCTGAAGTGCAAGGCTGGGATGTGGGATGCTGTCAGAGAGGCTTGGAGCTGTATGGGAAGGCAGTGGGGGGCTGGAGGGGGGCTCTCCAACACCCATAAGGATGAAAAAATGGGAAAGGCTTTGGAACAGCTGCTTCATTTGCAACTGGCTGCTTTTTTGTCTTAGAACAATGCTGCAATGACACATAACAGGTCACAGCAGCAGGCTGGAGCCCTTCCCATGCTGGGCTTGGAGATGCCCCCTGCCTGCTGCTGCTCCTGGGAAGGAGAGAAGCTCCCCCAGGACTGGCAGGGGTTTGGTGGCTGCAGGAAATCTCCTGCCCCTGCAGCCCCAGGAAGCTCAGGATAAACTGAGCCTCGCTGTGCTGATGCCTTCTGGGGCTACCTAAAGACAGAGCCCAGAAAAAATTCAGAGAATAAAAAGCAGTTTATTTATTTAATATTTATTTAATATAAGTTCTTTTTGTTGAAGGGCTTTCAGGTGCATTTAGGGCAGACAAAGCCCCCCAGGGGCTACACTCAAAAAATAAATGATAGGCCACAGGTTTTCCCACTTTTCTAAGTTTGTTCCATTTGCACACTGGGTGTTCATCTCCCAATTCCAGCTGCAGGGAATGAAGGAATTTCCCCCAAGTTTGCTGCCCCCAACTCCCTTTTGTTTCCATCTCTGGGGCCTGAGGCAGTGAGGTGTCCTTGATTGCCAGGCCTGGAGAGGAATTGTTGTGTCTGCCCAAAGTGGGGAAGCAGCAGCTCCCAGTGTGTGTGGAGTTTGGAGTCACACACTGAGGAACGGCAGGAGTACAAATGTGTGAGAAATATAAAAGTTAAAATCCTAAGGCACCAATGCCACAGCACCACGACTTCAAACCCAAGATGCTTCCTCTCCAGAGGCCATTTTGAGTAGATAAATATGATTTGGAGATGCTCAGATGCCCCCTCCAAGCCTCAGGAGCAGAGCAGCCAATTATTCCTGCTCCTGGAGCTGCTGCTGTGTCCATCTGCTGTTCCACCCTCGGAGAACCAGTGTCCAGCCCCTCTCACTGGGACCTCTCCAAAGGCCACCACATCCCTCTGGGAATGGACACATCACAGCTGAAGATGCTGGGAATGGAAGGGCTCAGGCTGATGGGAGAGGAGGAGGAGGATTTTGAAGCTCGCTGAGCCTGGAGGAGAGGCAATAAAGCAGCTGAAGGAAATCACTTTCCTGGGTAAAGTGCCGTTTTTTCAAGACCAAAGTTCTCCCTGGGAACGAGTTGATTTTGAGTAAAAACCATCAGGAAAAAAACAAGAACTGTGAGGGACCAGGTGTTTGAATGACACACTTTGGAAAGGCAAAGTGGAAGTGCCACAAAACAGTTGCACAGACCTCAGATTGCCTCCCTGTGCTCTCACACTCTGTGAAAAGCACACTGAAGACACCTCAAATTCCCTGTTTTGCCCTGATTTGGGGCAGCAGGAGCTGATGGGATCCATGGAAGCAGCCACTAAGGGATACCCCTGGCAGAAGTTGGGCTCCCCATCCCAAGGAACCCCACGTGCACCCCCTGCACCAGCTCCTCTCTCCCTTTGATGCCGACAAATAACAATTTCAAACTGGGGAAGACACCTGGGAGAGCCGAGGCACTTGTGCTACAAGATAATTAGAGATTATTATAATCGAAATTTCATTGCCACATCAAACTGTGTCTTTTAGCATTAATTAATCTCCTCTCCCAGCCTCTGAGCACTCCCAGCTCCCGCGCTGTAGGACAGCAGCTTGTCAAACACACCAAAGACTTGCATCTCATTACCTTATCAGAGGGGCTGAGTGGGGAGCCAGGGAGCAGCACTGACACATTCCCCAGCACAGCCAGCGACGTGAGGACGCCTGCAAAGCCTCTCCTTGGATTGCAAACTTGTCAAAGGAGGCATGTGAGGTATCTTCATCCCCTCACCGCACCCTCCTTCCTCTACCTCTCGCCCCTCCTCGGTAAAAACAGGCCTGGCAAAGATGCTGCTTTGTCCCACTGCACTGTGTGACCTTTAATAAATGAGGATGGATAACATCCTTGCAGGGCACTGAGTGCTCATTCCTTGCTCTCCTTGGGCTCCTAAAAGTCAGTGCAGCCACGCTGCAATCCTGGCTCCGGTGTAAAAATTCCTGTTTAATATCCCACTCCCAGCCTGGTGCATGGGACTTCCCTCCTCCAGGAGGTTTGGGGAAGGTGTGAGGCTAAATCCAGTTTTCTACACCAGGTTCACATCAGCTGCTGGATGAGACCAGGCAAGACTGACCTTGAAGAACTGAAGAAGCAGAGGGAAGCTGGACCCAGCTAAAGGCAAATTCAGACCCTGTCTGAAAGCTCTCAACACCCCTGAAAAAACCCAAACCAAACAAAAATCCACCTGCAAGGGGAGAAACCTCAGCACAGGCACACACTGCATCCCTTTTATCAACAGCTGAAGGAACTGGGCACCCCCAGGCCCCCAGGAAACCTGGCCAGGGCTGTGTATATATTGGTGCTATGCATGAGGTGCTGTATGTTCTAGTCATTGATTCCCCACTCCTTCCACAGCTCAGCTGAAAATAAATATCCTCTCCCTTGTTTCCACCTCTCCACTCCCCCTTTCCCCATTATTGGCTTTCTGACGGAAGGCTTTAATTTATTCCCCCTGCCATATCTCTGTGCCGCTGTTTTCCAGCGCTTTACACCATATATTACCCACCGTCCTGTGTCATTTAACTCCACAAAGCACTCGCAGATACAGTTTGCTTGAAGGATGCTGGAGCCATTAATCCTGATTCCACAGCCCTGCGGAATGCCCGTGGCACACACACAGCCCCTCCTGGCTGTTTTACAGCCACATCTCCACTCAAACCCACCCCCAGCCCTAATTTAACACCAAGGCACTAAAATCAAGCCCCTCCTGACCACTCGGGCTTCTCTCCATTCCTGAATGAACCTCGTGGTGAGAATGGTCCCAGCTCCAGGAGAGCGTGGTGAGCAGCTGGATCGTGGCAAGCAGAAACCAGTATGGGGAGGGGAAAAACCAGTCTCCTTCATCCCGGAAAATGGGACAATGAGATGATGAAAAACACATCAACCACAGCGGATCCTCTCCTCGGAGCCGCTGCGCGCCACGCTGCCTGCAAATTGCTCACCAGAGGGAGAGCTTTGATGAAAAATAGAAAGGGGGAAAAAAAAAATTTAACGGAACGAAGAAAATGTCATTTATTTTATTTATTTATCGGAATATTTCCGTACGGGGAGAGGAGGACGGGCATGATTATTCATCGGATTCCGCACGGCAGGCTCCGCAGGGAAACGCCGCCGTCGCGCTCGCGTCCCCGCGCCGCCTGACGCGTTGTTAGGGTGTATTAATTGTGGCACAGTGAGAGATGAGAGAGAGCCCCTGTCTCAAAGAGCTGCGAGTCCAACGCTGCACCTTCGCACCTCAGCAAAGCCAGGAATGAGCAGCTCCAGCTGCGGGGAGAGCTGAACTCCACAGCTATCCCGGCTGGAAAAGGCAAACAAATCCCAAGCCAAGCCCTTCGTGCTCCTGCTGATTGCACAGAACGAGCGCTAACTCGGTTTAAAATCGTGTCTGTCGTCAGCATCACTGCCACCACAGCAATCTGTGCCTTCCCTGGCATTTTCCATATGCCTCCAGAATCGCAGAATCACGCAACGCTTTGGGTTGGAAGGGATCTTAAAACCCATCTCATTCCACCCCTTTCCACAGACACTTCCCACTGAAACAGGGGGAGCTGATCTCACCGGGAAGGATGTTATTTTCCTGTTGCTATTTTGCTGATGGGGAAACTGAGGCACTCGGGCAGCAAGGTCTTCCCCAGGTCATGTGGTGCTGGAGCAGCTCCTGCCTGCTCCTCCTCTCCCAGGCTGCTCGGGAGATGCTGCACTTCAGGAACTCCTGGTTTTCCTGCTGCACCCACGGGGATTTTAACAGCCTTCCACCAGCTCGGCCACGAGGCTGGAAGGTTTGTGGGGAGAGCTGATAACTTTCATTGGAGCAGCTGAGGCAGGTGGGAAAAGCCATTTTTATGCTGAAAACCCAGATCTGATTGAACTCTGATGAAGCGATGCTGCGTTTGCCCACATTCTCTGGCAGCCTAATAAAACCTCGCTCCCACCAACTTTTTAAAACAAGGGAGCAGCAAACAGCTGCCAGCCCCCACCTTCTGCATTCAAACAACCACAAAACCCCTTGGGATATGCAAATATCTCCATGTTTTTCCAGAAACCTCACAAGCAAGAAAGTATTGCAAGGCCCTGAACAACGGGATGACCTGAAATTCCTGCTTGGATTCAAGCAAAACACTCTTAAATCACTTTTTTTTTGCAGCTAGTGGGGATCGGTTTTTTGAATTTGTGGGAGAAAAGGAGTTGTTTTGGAAGCCACAAGCACTTTGTTGCCATTACTGAAGCCAAAATAATGGCCCACCTGGAGACACACTCCCCTGCACACAGCTCAGCATTCCTGGGATGAGGAAGGGAAGAAGTCTGAAGAGAGCTGGTTTTGTGGTTTAGTTGTTTGGGGTTTTTTTTAAAAAAATCACTATAATTTAAAGGCCAAAGCTCTAACGAGTGCACAAGGGCAAGAGGCGACAAATGCCTCGGTGAAAAATACAAAATTACCATTTTAATGGATGAGTGTTGACTCCCTGGCTCTCCCCGGGGACGCCTGTTTGATTTCCTCAGCTTGTTAGCACAAGGATTTGACACAAGCGATTAATGCTGAGTTCATTAAGGGGGGGTGAGTGCTTTTTTGCTTTTCCACTGGATTCAGAATGGGGAAAAAGGCTGGGGGGAAACACAGGGAGCAGCGGTAGGGAGCTCCTGCCTCTGAGGATGCAGAGGATGGAAGCAGCTCATCACACCAGTGCCAGAAATGCTGCTCATTTCGGGGCTCAGGCTTCAAATCTCTGTCCTCAGCATCCTCACATCCCAGGGATGGAAGGAATTGTCCTCCTTTGCACCCTCTGCCATCACAACAGCGACCAGTTCTGATCCCAAAGCCTGACAATAACCAAGTACCATATTCCCTGGCAAGATCCCAGCTCTGCGGAGGGGAGAAGCTGAGACAGAGTGCTGGGAAGGGCTGACCTTGCCCACGGGCACCTGGAGCAGCGGTGGCAGAAGCCACAGCTGGAGCAGAGTCACCAGCCACAGGGACACACATCTGGCCCTGGTCAGGAGGGCAAGGCCGGCACCCTGCCCACAGCTCTGCCATCCCAAGCTGCCCTCACAGGGGCATGGATGCAGGGAGATGGATGCAGGGAGATGGATGCAGGGAGATGGATGCAGGGAGATGGATGCAGGGAGATGGATGCAGAATGGATGCAGGGGATGGATGCAGGATGGATGCAGGGGATGGATGCAGGGGATGGATGCAGGGGATGGATGCAGGGGATGGATGCAGGGGATGGATGCAGGGAGATGGATGCAGGGAGATGGATGCAGGGAGATGGATGCAGGGAGATGGATGAAGAGGATGGATGCAGGGGGATGGATGCAGGGGGACGGATGCAGGGAGATGGATGCAGGGGATGGATGCAGGGGGATGGATGCAGGGGGATGGATGCAGGGGATGGATGCAGGATGGATGCAGAGGATGGATGCAGGATGGATGGATGCAGGATGGATGGATGCAAGATGGATGCAGGATGGATGCAGAGGATGGATGCAGGGGGATGGATGCAGAGGATGGATGCAGGATGGATGGATGCAGGATGGATGGATGCAAGATGGATGCAGGATGGATGCAGGGGGATGGATGGGCTGCATCAAGTCCTGCTCTTCTCACAGGTGCTCAGAGCAGCAGCTGCTGTCCCCAGCCACGAGTGTCTGTCCAAAGGGGGAAATCAGCATCCTCTGAAGGATGGCAGAGCAGTGCCATCCAGAGCCAGATCTGTGCCAGGCCTGTGCCACAGCTCCATCTGACACTGCAAGGTCAGCTCCTGTCCCCTTCCCACCAGCCACGGCACCTCAGCAGCTGCCAGGGAAGCTCCCTCTGACACAGCTGGGAGATTACAGAGCCTTTGGAGAGAAAGAGCAAGCAGGGATGAATCCCCCTTTCCCAGGGAACACCTGGAGAGCCAGAGCTGCCTGCCCTGAGCCAGCAGCTCTTGGCAGCCCAGCTGCCTGCTTCCCCCTTCATTCTGATAAAGTCCCTGCTCAGCAAGAGCAGTTTGTTTGGGGTTTTTTTGTTGAGGAAGCACAAGCAGAGGTGGAAGGTTAAGTCCACTCCAGTGCTCTTTGCTAGCTCTCTGGCCGATTTGGCAGATGAATTCCTGCACAACAGGCAGCTTTGAGGAATGAATGCAGCTGGAGCTGGCTGGCTGTGCCCTGTCCTCTCCCCCTGAGCTGAACACAAGACCAGTGATCTGCAGAACCATGAGCTCCCCTTTCCTGCACCCTCAGGAGCCCCCATCCATCACTGATGCTCCCACAGTTTAACCAAGGGATGTAGGTCCACTATTTTCCAGCTCTGCACCAGAGAGAAGCAGCAAGGCAGTCATGGGGAAGAAGTGGCTGCAACTAAATAGGACTTATTGTTCCTTTTTCTTTTAAAAACAAAGCCCTTCCTCCCTTTCTCTGGCTCCTTCCCATTAATCCTCTCTCCTCAGGGTTTTTGGCTAAGTGCCTCTCCCCAGGCATGGGGCTGTGGTTTTATATCCCATCACCTGGGGCGGGGAGCTGGGAAGATGCTTCCCAGTCACAGCTGTGCCCTGCCACACCAGCTCATGTCATCGGGGCCTTGCTAAACTATCACCAGCTTCCTGCAGAGTTTCCTCCCCCTGGATTCCCCAGATGCCCACAGATCTCTCTGGGTCCTCAGAGGGGGCACGAAGACGTCACTGGCTGCAGTGATTCCTGGTTTCTCTCCCGGCTGGAATGGCTTTTATTTCACACAGGCAATTACTCTGTGCTGCACTCTGTGTTTTGCAGCACTCTGTCAGTTTGGGCAGGGCTGGAGATTCTGTCTGGGGTTCAACCATGGCAGGCAGGGGATGGACACACTCCCAGAGCCAGGATGTTCCAGGAACACCACTGACCTGCTCACCCCCAAGCAGCTCTGCTTTGCCACTTTACAATCCATTCCCACTGGGGAAAACTCCCCTCTGCAAGGATCCGTGTCCTCCTGTCTCCCCATGAGGATGGCACAGGGGGTGGTGCCAGGATGGGCTGGCTTAAGGTGGGAGTCATCCCTCACCTTGCACCTGGAGACAGCCCAGATCCTCTGGGAAAGCGGAGGAGGGAGGCTCTGACAGGGTTTCCATGACCCTGGGATAATGAGGAAAGCCAGGATGGAAAGGGACAAGGGTCCCCTCACACTGGGGATGCAACTCAGCAGCCCCAGCAAAAAGATCAGCTCTGCTGGGAGAACACCAGGACCTGAGCCAGGACATCGACTGCATCAGGAGCCAGGCTGGGTAGAGGTGCACAAACCAACCTGGAGCAACCTGGTGTAGTGGGAGGTGTCCCTGCTCATGGCAGGGGGTGGGACTGAGATAACCTTTAAGATCCCTTCCAACCCAAACCATTCTTGGGTTCTATGAAACACCCATTTTGCCCTCAGTTCTGCCCAAAATCCACAAACACAGTCCATGCCCAAGTTCTCCTCATCCCACAGCTCCCCAGGAGCTTGGTTTGGGGCAAACTGGTATCCAGAGCCAAGCCAGAGGGGCAGATCCAGGCTGGCACGGTGGCTTGGATGCAGGAAAGCCCTGATGACAAATGGCATCAGCACCACGAGACCAATTAGCTGCTCTGTGAGGTTAAGACAATGCGAGTCCCATCCCTGCCAGACAGAAGATGCCAAGGGAACGTGTTCTGAAAGGTTTGGCCTCCTTAGCATCTCTCCAAAGTAATTCCACTTGTAACTCATAAAGCTTCCCCAGCCGACTGCACGGGGCTTGCCAGCTCCTGGATGAGACAGACATTTGTATGAGATATACAAAGCCATTTAGCTGTTCAAAAGCTATCAGCACTTACATGCAAGGTTGAAGCAGGACAGATTCTGCTGTATTCAGGGCATCAAAGGGGATTATCCAGGAAATGATAACAGATTTTAATTTAGATCCTCCAAGATGGGTGTTAGGGCCGGGCAGGGAGAGGTAGAGAAAGAGAAGGAGGGAGGTTGTAAGGCAGGGAGGGGGAGAAAAGAAAAATAAATAAGCAAGGAGAGATAGCTGATCACAAAAGTTGTGTCCACACATTTGCCACGCTGACTACGGAGCTGCCACTGCCACGTCGTCATCCCTGTGCCTGCCCGTGCTCCTTTTCCCTAATCCTTCACAATTCCAGGGTCAGCACTGGGCTGCAGCCCCTCCACACCAAATATTGCCATTTTCCCAGGCACAGCATCTATTCCTGCTCAGAGCTGTTTTTTTCCAGGCAGGAGAGGAAGAGGCTGCCCATCGGGCTGTGACTCTGGCTATCAGACAGTCTATCAGCGGCTTCTGGGTACATTAAGCTCTCCTTTGCGGCGAGATCTCAATATTCCTGTCCTCCCAGCCTGATTTTCCATGCAGATTTAAAGAGCTTTACACAATGAACACCTCTGCATCTCAGACACGCTTGCCTTTATGTATTTGATCTAATTTGAGGGGCAGGGTCTGAGGTTTTCCACAGGATGGATGGATGGATGGATGGATGGATGGATGGATGGATGGAGGCACTTCCAGAGATGCTCAACATCAGCGCTCTGTGAGTCACTTTTTGGAGATGTTGGAAGCCCAGCTCAAATTTGAACACACCCTCAAAATCAAAACATTTCGTGAAAACCATAAAAGTAGTAGCTTTGTCTTTTAAACTGTTTTAATTGAGGATCCATGGCAAATCCTTCCAGACTGAGGAATAGTTTAAGTCAATCCCAAGCCTTGTTTTCTTTTTAGAAGCAGTTCCTTGCCTCATGTCCTCTCCTGCCACATGGCTTCTTTGCAGGTTTTGCCTTTCTATTTCCGACAGTCCCAGATGGGATCTATGAATAAAACTGAAGAGGAGCTGGAGATTGGCTCCGAGTCATTAACGCAGCAAATATAGACTCTGCTCAAGATCTGAGCCATGCAGGGGGGGAAGAAAAGCTCCCACCTCTCTTCTCCAGGACAGATCTAGGCTAATGTGGAATGACGTATCCCTGCCGACATTAACGGAGCAGAGGGGACAGCTCTTGCCTTTTAATCCCCAGATCAATTCCGTGTACACAGTGGATATACAAAATGCCTCTGGCTATGCATGACACAACTTTCCTGCCCAAAATGCTCATCTCCTGAGGCTGCTCTTGGAGAAAAAGCCTAAATATCCCAAATCAATCTGTTCAGTGACCCATATCTTTTGCCTGTGGAAAGATGTTTTATACATGGAGTTCTGTAGGAACCACATTCCATGGTGCAACACAAATGCAACCCCTGCTTCCACCTGGTCTGCCCAGACCTTGCATCACACCCATGCCCAAAACAACTGCTCTCCCCATGCAGCAGGAATGTGGCTGGCTTGGGCAGGAGACATTTATCCAAGAGTACAGGAGGATAGTTTGGAGTTATTTTTAGTCACATTGATCCAAATCCTGGTATTTGGTCAAGAACATTTCTCGGGACAATTTCTCACCCTTCATTATACAATTGGGCTGGACGGATCAGGGGAGGGATCAAGGCCAATAAACACATCCAATATCCCCCAAAAAACCCAAATCCTCCCCTTTCCCAAGCCAGCACTCAGGACAGGTCTGTGAGCATGGCCTGTGCATGCACTCAGGTTAATAAAACAACCCAAACCCAAGAGGGATGAGCCCAGTGTGACAACCTGGGTGTCACCAACCCCACCAGCACAACCTGGAGGGAGGACACTCCTTCTGCTTCCAGGTCCTGGAGGCTGGCCTGATCAGATCAACATTACAAGATCATCAGCTGATGAAAACCTCTGAAAACCATTGCAGAAGCCCACCCACCCTCCAGCTGTGTTGTCCAGGGAGAAAATCCCTCATCCCTGCACCCCCACCGTCCGTCCTCATTTCCCCTTCTCGGCAATTAAAGCAATAAATAAAGGTGAAGGAATCTCATTCCATTTTTAAGGCAAAAGGCATGGAAACAGAGAGCGAAGGACACCACTGGGAGGGAAGGGGCTGTAATTAAACCCTCCCCCTCTTTGTGTTTTTGCTGTTTTCTGAAGGTCTGACTAAAAAGCCCTTAAAACCTTCCTCCACAAAAGCAGGAAAAAGACCCCCCTTCCCCTCCCACCGCCCGCCACTAAATGGAATGAAATGGATTTTTCAAATGTCATGCTAGTATCCACTTAATAATACATTTTCCTATAGACAGGACAATAATATATATTTTAATCACTTTTCTACAGGCAAATAAACGGCATGGAAGCCTGGCCTTCACTGGCGCTTGGAAATTATGAATTTTTCAATAACCTTTTCTATTATTCATCCTGTGTTATTCCGTAACATTTCTATGTGAGGAATGTGCTTGCCAGACACTTTATGAATCTCTTCTTTTATTTATTAAACAGCAAGGTGTCTCCCTGAAACCCCTCCTC